GCTCAGGACGTAAAAGGAGAAGCGGGAAGACGGAGCGAGAAGGGAACAATGCAAGCATTGTTCGGGGAATGCTCCGTGAGCACATATATATGCATATATACGTTGTTCGCGTGAGAGGGGGGGGGGGGGGGGGATTGGGGGGGGGGGATTGTAAGGGGGGCGGGCCGTTTATATCCGTCGTGCCCAGGACCGCGCAGGGGCAGCGGAAAGACGAGACGGGAGGGGATCTGTGCAATCACTGTTTGGGGAATGTTCCGTGAACATAGATATGTATATATGTATATGTATATGTATATATATATATATATATATATATGTTCGCGCGCAAGCGCTGTCTGGGGAATGCCCCGTGAGCGCGCAGATCTGCGCCCAGGAATTGCCAGCGCAACTTCGGCCGTATTTGTGTTCAAGCCACCCCGCGCGCGTCTCCAATGATATGCAGAGACATTCGCGCGCGTTCGGACACGCAACATGCTAGATTGTGATCGTTTGCCACCGCAACACCGCCACGAGCCATTCAACGGAACCGCCGCCCACCACCCGCAGCCCGCCACCCACCGCGCCCCACGCGCCCCGCACCCCGCACCCCGCACCGCGAACCACGCACCACCCGCCGCCCACCACCCACCACTCACCATTCACCACCCACCACCAACCGCCACAACCACCGCTGCCACCACCCACCCACCCACCCACCCAAACCCACACCCACGCCCACCCACCCAACCACACACACGCACACACACATACACGCGCGCGCGCACGCACGTGCGCACGCGCACACGCGCGCGCACACACGCGCACACGCGCACACACAGGCCCAAGGACTGGCCTTGATAATTGGTTTTCACGATTCCGATAAATTTCTCTGACGGTATGTGCATGTGGGCCATCGTTTGAAATAACTATAGCACTGCCCTAGCTAACGCCGTGCAATTTGCCCAAAGCTGGCTTTCAAGGCGCAGGCCGTAGAAAAGCAAAAACCCATTCTCAAGGCCAAGACTTGTTTGATATTGCAAAACAACGAGGGTCGACGAGAAGTCCTAAGGTTGGCAACCTTTCAACTTTAGTTCCAACCCTTCAACCTTAGCTTCAACCCTTCGCCCAACCCTTCAACCCTAATTTCAACCCTTCGCCCAACCCTTCAACCTTAGCCCCACCCTTAGTTTCAACCCTTCGCCCAACCCTTCAACCTTAGTTTCAACCCTTCGTCCAACCCTTCGCCCAACCCTTCAACCTTAGTTTCGCCTCTTCGTCCAACCCTTCGCCCAACCTCTCAACCTTAGTTTCAACCCGTCGCCCCAATGGAAGGGTTGAAACTAAGGTAGAAGGGTTGGGCGAAGGGTTGAGCGAACGGTTGAATCTGAGGTTGAAGGGTTGGGCGAAGGGTTGAAACTAAGGCTGGAACTACGGTTGAAGGGTTGGGCGAAGGGTTGAAACTAAGGTTGAAGGGTTTGAACTAAAGATGAAGGGTTTCCAACCTTAGGATTTCTCGCCAACCCTTCAACCATTCATTTTTTCAGGTTGCCGGATGCTTTGGGTGGAGGGGGGCCGGCGGCGGCGGCAGCAGCGGCGGCGGCGGCGGCAGCGGCGGCAACGGCGGCGGCCGCGGCGCCGACGGCCGCGGCGGCCCTGGCCACGGCGCCCTCCGCCGCCGCCGCCGCCGGCGGGGAGCCGGCAGCAGCGGCGGCAGCGGCAGCGGCAGCGGCAGGGCAAGCGGCCAGCGCGGCGCCAGCCGCGCCCGCGGCGCCGCTGGCGCAAGCGGCGCAGGCGGCGCCCGCAGCCAGCTGCAGGAGCGGCAGCAGCCCGGCGCCGCCGCCGCCGCCGCGCCGCAGACCCCATCGCCGCGAGCAGGGGCGCCCGCCATCGCACCAGAGGGGGGGTCAGGACGGGGCGCGCCTTCCGCGCCCCCCCCCCCCCCATCCAGGCCACGCCGGAAGTCGGGGCCGAGCAGCGGCCGCTGCGGCCCCCTCGAGCCAGAGCGGCTTGAGCCAGGGGGGGCTACGGACTGGTGGGGATATGTGTTTTGTGGTCTGCGGGCTCGCGAAGCCGTCCGATCGCTAGCCGGGCCGCGACTAGGCAACAAGAAAAGAGAGGGGCAAGCGAAGCGAGCGCGCGGGCAGCCACTCAGAAGGAGCACCAGGAGCGGCACTCCCAACCCTGTGGCATGGAAATCCCGGTGGCAACCATCAAGCAGGCGCAGACAAACTGGCGCGGCGGCGCGACCATGAACACGCAGCGGTCGATCACCCGGTGTGAGTCGGCATAGGGCCAGACGAAAACGAGCGGGTTCGACAGGCACTCCAGGGCGACATCCGCGCCGTAGGCGACACAACAGCATCGCGTCGGCGCCGGAGCGAAGAAGAGGGGCAACCTCGTCACATATAGGACTGCGAAGGGCAGATCCCCTGGCATGCACGCCCGGTGGCACAAGTCGAAAGCGAAGTCCATATGGGAGAAAGCAGCCGACGGGCGCCTAGAGCCACACGCGTCGAAATCCTTGCACCGAGGACGGCACCGTAGCGAGACCCCACGGAACCCAAACGGTCACCAGTGGAGGCTGACACTAAGCAGCAGCAGGCCTGGGGCCACCTGGCCGCCCATCCCCGGTGCGGTCATGCATGGAATTCGAAGCGAGACCTCGCGGAACCCTCCCAGTCACCAGTGGAGACCGACACCATACAGGAGCAGATCAGGGGCCACCTGACCGTCCGTTCCCAGCGTGAACCTTGCATGGAATTCAGGCTGTCAGAGCGCCATCGGACAGCAGTATTGGCGGCGACCCCACCCGCGTGGGATAAACCCAATGAAACGAGGGAAGGGAGGGGAAGTGCACACCAGGCACGGTAGGCAACCCGTTGTGGCAGCTAACCGCTGCGGCGCAATAGGAAGCAGTAGACACGAGCATCGGAGCCCACTGAACCCTTTTCGGCCATCAGCAGGGGGGTGCGCCGGCTGAAGGCAGCAAGTAGGCACCGCACCACCCAGTCGCGGTGTAACACATGATCCTAGTGATGCAGGAAAGGGAGTCAGCGAACCGCTGAAGCAAAAGGAGAAGAAGCAGGAGAGCTCACCATAACCCTATGTCCACTGACGCACACGGCTCAACCCGCCACTGGCACCAGTTTGCACTTGTTATTCACACGAAGTCCTGTGCTCTCCCGCTGCGTGGGACCTGCAGGCGGCGGCCCCGCTGCTGCTGGCAGCTCCTGAGATGGAGGCGTTATTGATAGCCGTGGGCCTGTCACTTGGGCTGCGAAAGCAGGTGTTGGTGCGCAAGATATGGTCGGCGCGGTACACGTCGCAGTTTGCAGTCCTCCGGGCGTTGAAGAAATCCCGGCACACGGTTGGCGGCTGCCGTGCTGGGTGAAAGGTCGGCCGGGCGTTACTGAAACAAGTTCTGGTACAGCGTGCACACAACAGGTCGCTGAACATGCTGCCTAGCTCTTTCTTCATCCTGAGGATAAAAGCGCTATCGGACTCACAGGAGTGTTGTGAGTCGATCGTGCGTGGTGGTGCCTTGTACATCTTGGACCCGTCGTTCTTCTTGGGCTGGTAGATGGACAGTGGTTTTTTTGACAACGGTACCCATATGCCATGATTGAATATGCCGTCGCTTCCCGTGCGCATGGCCTGGTGACGCCAGGCGTCGTCGCGAGAATGCGTGGCCCGGCGGTCTGACCTGTCGTAACTCCACTTGTTCCTGTATCCGCGCGAATAACCAGTCCTGTCGTCAGCGTCGTGCTGAATTGGACCGTCCCGTTGTCCTCGTCAGCTGCTCTGTTCACAGATTCGCACGTACCCTTCCGGAGGGGCCCTGTGTGGCGGATCTCGTTTCCTCGGCAGCGGGTGTCTGTCGTCCGTGACACAGGATAATTCGTCGTCAACCGCCTCGGTGTTAGGAAATAAATGCCTTTCGAGGGAAGCGTTCATGACTACGCTGATCAAGGGGTCCACCCTCTTCCCGTCGTCGCGTGCCTGTTGTGAGCCAGGATCGCACAAGGAAAATATGTTTTCATTGGCGTTATCAGCCATTCGCTCCTTAAGCTCCTGAAAGGACATGTTGGATGGTGCAGTGGTACGGTTTGGGGCGATTCGCCGAAATCCTACCCCGACCGGTGGGGATATTTTTTTGTCGCAGCCGGAAACGAAAGCGCAGGCGGCGAGTAACGGAACGGGCGGGCCGCGCGCGAACCTAATTGCCAAACGCGCCAACAGAAAGGGGCCTACGCGGCACCTCAAAACACTGGGGGCGGAAGGGGGCGCGGGCTGCAACTGCCAGGAACCAGGTCCAGGAGCGCGCACATGCAATTGCCAACCGAACTCGGAGCGCAGCCAAAATGGCGCGGGAACGAAACCAGGATGAAACCAGGAATGATACCACGAAAGATCGCAGAAACCGGCAAGGCCGGCAGAACACACTGACCAGGAACCTGGGCATGGAAGTGGCGCCACCAACGTCGCTCACAACGCTGACAAAGTGGCCGCAGAGGGACTGGTGGGGATACGTTTTTTTTGTCGCGACCGCAGGCGACAGCGCCAGCGGCGAGTCAGAAAACTGGTGGGGATACTTTTTTGGTCGGCGGCTCCGAGGCGGTGGACAGGGAACGGTAGGCGTCGTCTGGGCCAGCAGGCGAGGCCAATTAGCTACAACAGGCAATGCACCTGCAGTAAACTGGTGGGGATACGCGAAGCGTCAAGAAATCCGAACCGATCCACCCGTGGCCACGAGGAGCCCCTGGGAGGCGCAAAGTTTGAAACACTCGCATCAGTCCTGAACCTCGAAGTCCGATCCCTGGCGCACGCCTGAGGCTTCCAGCGAAGGGCCGCTCTGGCGCGGGGCCGGGTGTCCTGTGAGCAGGGACCAGCGGTCCCAAGTCCTTCTCACATAGGCCCGATAGGCTCCTCGTGCGAACCACAAGAGGATCCTAGAGCATTCCTTGGGGACCTTACAGGCAGGCCGCGACGCCTCGCCCCTACTTGACTTGCGCGGGGCCGGCTGTCCTGCAGCGCCCGCTCGAGCCCTGGGGAGCACGCCTCCAGGCGCTCCAGCCGCGGCTCGAGCTCCTCTCAGGCTCGTCGTCGTCGCCTCCGAGGCTCGAACCACTCGGAGGTTCGTCGCCGCCGCCGCCGTCGCCGCTGCTGCCGTCGCCGCGAGGGCTCGAGCTCCTCGTCGTCGTCTTCGTCGTCGTCGTCGTCGTCGTCGCTGCTTCCCGCTCCCGCTTCCGCTCCCGCGTCCACCTTCCGCCGCCGCAGGCTGGCGTCTCTGGAGCGCCGCGAGACCTCGCACTCTCTTCGTGCATGCAGAGCTCCTCCGCCTTCCCCCGAGGGGATCAATCATAGACTCGCTGTCTCTGTCTCTGTCTCGCTCTCTAGCCCACTCTCCCCCTCCCTCCTCCTCTCCCTCATCCCCATGGCGCTCAGCGCCCAGGGTCATGGTGAGAGAATGCGGCCCAAAAGATCCCCTGGACCTCCGACCCAAGGCCAGCACCAAGCGAATGACACCGCCCAAGCAACGTGAACCCGTAGAATCAGGACGCACGAGAAGGATGCGAGGGCATCGGAAGGCCACGTCGACACTTTGCGAACGGGGGGCGGCCAGCAGCGAAATCGGCCAAGGACGGGCCGAAGGGGAAGGATGCAAGGGTAATCCACATTGGAAAGCTGCCCATCCTTACTTCGCGGATTGACTGTAAGTCTGCGCGGGATTCCGAAAGTGGATGTTCAAGCAGCTTTTTGCTCATTCAAGGGGAGGCGGCGCGGCCCCAACGGCAACGGAGACTCGACCTGCAAAGGGAGGGAAAGAATCGCCCGAATCGTACGGCCCCACGGCCCGGACGGGCGCAAGACCGAAAACGGGCAGCGAAACAGTCGTGGAACCGTGTCAAACAGGCAAACGACGAAGCCAGGACAAGGACAACATCGGGTGAGGATAGATCGAAGATCTCTGAGATCAGGCGGTTCTGGAGGATGTCTGGGGCGCCGCTGCCTTCTCAGAGCGTTCCGTAACGCTCTGAGACCGTTCTGGAAGGGATTTATCCTCGTCCTAGCCCCGTCCTGCAGGCCCTTCTCTCACGGGGAGCAAGGGGAGGGAACGGAGGAGGGAAACGCGTGGGCGGAAAGAACATGTCAGCATTCCCGCACCTACGGCCTTGCGGTCCCAGGATGCAGGCCAGCTGTGCGCAAATGCACCGCGCATCTATGGGATCGCGGTCCGGTGTCCAGACCGCGAGGGCACGGATATGGATGAACATGTTCGTCGTTCGCGACAGAGATGGAGGGATATGAGAATGAGGAGGACGATGGCCGTCTGGCAAGAACTTCGAAGAGAACCTGGCCGTGGCGACGAGACACCCCCCCGAAGCCCACAGAATACGGAAGGCGCGCAGAAACCTCGAGCCTCGAACCTCGTCCGATGAGCAGGAAGAACAGAAAAGACGAGGCGTGGGGGGTTACGACGGGCCTGCCTGCTACAGGCAAAAAACCAAAACATTGATGCAACATTGGTGTCGGTTTTGCCCCCGTGCTTGTTTCGGCGTCTGGTTTCTTTGATGTATTATTGATGTTTTTTTGCTGCGCCCCCCTCGTCTGCTCAAATGTTGCTTGGTGCGCCGGTTGTTGCGGCGCTTGCCGCGCGCTTAGTGCACGCCGCAGCGTTTCGTTGCCGTTTGTTTGCCGCGGCGCTTCCTGCGGCGCCGGCCTGCGACTTCGCCGGCCGCGGGATTCCCTCGAAGCTGCTTGTCGCAAGGTTGTTGCAGCGCTTGTTGCGCATGGCTCCGAGAATTTGGCAAAACATTGGTGCTTTTTTGAAACGGACAGCAACGACAAAACAACAATGTTTTGCTAAAGTGCATGGTGCGTGCGTTTGTTTGGAATGTTTTGTTTGCCCGGTTGTATGCTGTATAATGTTGAATGAGGCGTTGGCGCGCGCGTTGTCGATGCATTGGCACGTGACGGTCATGGTTGCCGCTGCTGTTACTACAAATGTTCATGTTACATCAATCTTACTGTTCAGTGCACTGTTACGTCAATCCGTGGGGCTGCTGCACCGCTGGTTCCAACTGGTTCTAGCCGATTCCTACGTGGTTCCGAGGTTTATTTGGCCCAAGGTGCTTCTTCAGGTCCCCGAGATGCACTTGAGGTTTCTGGCTCCAATGTTTCCAGCCTTCTTCTGCAAAACGATCCATGCGGGTCGCTTAATAACAGCCGGCTTGCCCGGCGCCAACAGCATGGCCTGGCCCCCGCCGGGGGTCTGCAGAGGAATACTGGTCCTGGGGTCAGTCCCATGTAGAGACCACTATTCCACACGAGCTGCCTTCTCCTCCTCCTCCTCATCATCATTCTCTCCTACTCTTCCTCGTCCTCCTCCTCTTCCTCATCATCCCCCTCGTTCTTCTCTTCGCTGGTCTTAATGTCCTCCTCCTTCTCCTCCTCCTGATCCTCTTCCCCATCCTCCTCCTGCTCCTCCTCCTCTTCTTACCTCCTACTCCTCATTTTCCTCGTCCTCCCCCCTCCCCGTGCTCTTTCTAATCCTCCTCCCCCTCCCCCTCCTCCTCCTCCTCCTCCTCCTCCTCCTCCTACCTCTTCCTCCTCCCTCTCGTCCTCGTCCTCCTCCTCATTCTACTCCTCGTCCTCATCCTTCCTCTCCTGATTATCCTCCCGCTCCTGCACCCCCTCGTGCAACATGAGCTGATAGTGATGGAATGCTGCCAGTGGGCATTGCGATCGCGGAAGCGAGCAACCAACAAAAGCAAGCAAACAGCACCAAAACAACTGTGTGTTGTCAAACTGCAGGGGGTACAACCATAAAAACACAAGCAGCAAAACAACAACAACAGTGGTTTGACAAATTGTCGGGGCATGGAAAAAACAACCAAGCAGCACAACAGCAGCAATGCTTTGCCCATCGACAGGGAATGCAACAACCAAATGAACAAGCAAACAACAACAAAACAACAATGCTTTGCCAAACCACAGGGGGGCAGCAACAGCACAAACAACAAGGGAACTTCAACAAGCAGTAGTGTTTTGGGCAAGGGGCGGGGGCAGCACCATCGGACGTAAGAACGAAGCAACAACGGGGACCAACAGCAAACAATGATGTGCTGAGCAACGCGTCGCGTCAAACCGCCGCCCCAACATGGGCAAGGGACGTCCCGCACAACAAAGAAACGCAAAACGTTTTGCAAACCATTGATGTTTCTTTGCCGTTCCAGACTAAATTTGAACATTTCCAAAGTGCGCGGCAATAAAAATGACAACCCCCAAACGACCGCGCGTTGCACTGGACCCCCCCGCTTGCCGGCCCGCCCCCCCGCGCCCCTCGCCCATCGCCCCTCCATCCTCCTCGCCCTCCTTTTCCTCCTCCTCCTCCTCCTTTTTCCTCCTCCTCCTTCTCCTCGCATCTTCTCCTCCTCCTCCGCCTCCCCCCCCATCTCCGTCTCCTCCATGCGCCCTCCCCCTCCTCCTCCACCTCCTCTTCCCTTCCCCTCCTCCCTGATCCTTCCTCTCTCCTATCCGCCTCCTTCCTCCCTTGTCTTCCTCCTCCTCCTTCCCCGCCTCATGTTCGTCGTCATCATTATCCTCTCCTCCTCATTTTCCCGCGTGTCCTCCTCCTCCTCCTCCTCCACATCCTCCCTCCCGTCATCCTACCCTTCCCTTTCCTCCTGCCCCTCCCCCTCATCCTCCTTCTCCTCCTCTTCCCCCTGACGCTCCGACTAATCCTTCTCTTCCTCCTCCTCCTCTTCCTCCTCCTCCTCCTCCTCCCATTCCTCCTCCTGCTCCTGGTCCTCCTCCTCCTCTTCATCCTCCTCCTCCTCTTCCTGATCCTCCCATTGGTTCTCCTCTTCCTTCTGCTCCTGCCACTGCTCCTCCTTCTCGTCTGCCCCTCCCCTTCATTTTCCCCCATGTTTTCCTTTCTCTCCTCCTACTCGTCCTGCTACCCCTATCCTCATCCTCTTTCGCCTCCTTTTCCCCCCCATCCCCCTCCTCCTCCACCTCCTCGCTGTCGCCCTCCCCCCATCGCCCCTCTCCTCGCCATAACTTTCATCATTCCCATTATTTTCGTTGTCCTCAACATCAATTTCATCCTCATTCTCATCCCCCCACCCGCCGCCACCTCCACCACCACCACCTCTTCCGCTCCCTCCTGCTCCGCTTGCTCCTCCCATCTTGCTCATGATGCTCCTGCAAGCCCCGCCTGCTCTACCATTGGCCTGCGTCCTACACGGGGGAGAGTGCAAGGGGCAAGCTACGTCCGCTTTTCCATATCTGAAATCGAACTCCTCCCAACCATCCCCTCCCATTGCACTCGCATTATTATCCAATTGCGCAGCGGCGCATATCAGCCGCTTTGGCAGCACAATTGCAGCTTGCCCGGGGCATGCCTGCTATAGGCATGAGGCCAACCTGATCGTTACAGATTCGTCATTGGATGGTTTGGGTTGTTGCCGCATGGGGTCGCTTCTCGGCGTGGCGAGACAGCGTGCGACAGTATTATTTTGCGTGACGGTCGCACGCGGGCGCGCGGGAGTGATCGGGGCGACCATACAACGAAACATAACAGAATCGCACACAATTGGCGACACCAAAGATTTAAGCAAAACATTAATGTTTTTGAGCCAATGGCGGCGGCAAGGCAACGGCAAAAAAACACTAATGTTTTGACGCGCGCCAGAAACACAAAAAAAAACAACGTTTTGCTCAAAAGCGCCCCTCCCCATGAAGCAATTTTGTGGACCCGCAGAACGGCTGCAACAAGCGATGCGACAACGGCTGCGACAAGCCATGCGGCGCCGAACCGGAAACGTGCAATTCTGCATGATATCGGGGAAACAAGAAAACGGCAAAAATGCGGCAATCGTAACGACAAGCAGGCCATGGGCGCGCATCAATGTTGCGGGGACCTCGCGATAATCGGCACGGGGGCATACGCCAACCAAAAAAACAACCCAACGGCAAAACTGCAACAATGTCGTTGATGCGATGTCTGTAGCAGGCAGGCCCGTGCTAAGTGGGGGGGGGGGGAGCAGAGCGAAGACGACGAGGCGCGGGGAGGCGCCTCCCTGAGTTGCCGCGGAACGTCCTCGCGAAGGCGGTCCAGCGCCTGCGCGGGCGGCGCGAGCGCGCACGCCGGCACGCAGTCTCAGCCGTCCTCCTCCTCGCCGTCGTCGCCGAGGCGGGGGCCTGCGGGGCCTGTCCGATCACAAGCTGTGAAGGTGTTCCGAGCGGGGGCCCCATCTGTATGTGAGCAGCGGGGACGTCTCGAGCGGGAGACCCCGACCTGTAGGGCCCCCACTTCATGTCAGCAATCCGAGGCGGTCATCGGCAAACAGAACTAGGCGTATGACGTGAGCACTCCAGGGGGGCAGGGTTTGAGGATGTCTGGAGCGGGGTCCTCGTCAGCGAGTAAATTGCGAGGAAGTCTCGAGCGGGAAGCCTCCTCCCTACGGGCCCCGGATCACGTTAGTAATCCGAGACGGTCATCGGCAAACTGCACAAGGCATAGATAGCACTTGGGCACCCCATGTGAAACGTGAGAAAATTCGGAAGATGTCGCGAGTGGGGGCCTCGTCTGTGAGTGAGTTGCGAAGCTGTCTCGAACGAGACCCTTCGTCCTCAGCCCCCCCGCTCCACGTCAGCAATCCAAGACGGCCATCAGCAGACTGTACTGGGCATGCATGCCTACGGCGGTAAAGTCTCGGAATGTTTCGAAGGGGATCTCGCTTGTAGATGGATCGCGAGGAGGTGCACAGCGGGCAGCCAACTGTCAGAAGGGCCGAACGCAGCGTTCGTGATGCGAGGTCACCCGCAAACTACACCAGGTATCGCACTCGATGGCGCCAACGGAGCAACGCGTGAGGATGCCTCGAGCAGGGGCCTCGCCTGCGAGTGACATGCGAAGTTGTCTCGAGCTGCAGCCCCTCTCCAGGAGGACCCCCAGGCAATGTTGAAGGGGCCTGGGACACACAAAAGAATAGACACAAAAAACATGATGCCCCATATGTTCCAATATTTTCTGGGTTCGTGTCTTCCCCCGATTCCCATAGTTTCCCACATGTTCTGGGGAATTGTCGATTAATCCCATCAGCCCTCTGGGCGTAGGTGGTTTAGGGAGTTTCCTCTTCCACCCCTCTTTCTTCCCCTTCGGGGAGGGGTTTATCACTGTTCCCCATTGCTATACCCTCCTTCCCCAGGCGACTGGGAGCCAACCAGGGTCAATGCGGGCACCCACCATCCTTTGTAACAAACAGTACAACACTTTCTCTCTCTCTCTCTCTCTCTCTTTCTGTCTCTCTCCAAATTCGGAGCATGCGCAGCGAACCCGACGCGGCCTCCCCCCACCATCCCTGTCAAAAACAATACAAAGTAAGTACGCTTCGCGGCGGCGGCGGCGGCGGCGGCTGCGGCGGGGGGAGCGGCTGCAGCGGCTGCGGCGGTGGCTGCGGCGGTGGCTGTGGCGGTGGCTGCGGCGGTGGCGGCGGCGGTGGCGGCGGCGGCGGCAGCAGCGGCGGTGGCGGCAGCGGTGGCGGCAGCGACTGCGGCGGTAGCGGCTGCGGCCTCGGCGGCGGCGGGCGGCGGGCGGCGCGGTGGCGGCGGCGGCGGCGGACAGCGGCGGCGGCGGCGGCGGAAACGCGGCAGCGGCGGCGGCTGGCGGCGGGCGGCGGCGGCGGCGGCGGATTCGCCCCCAGTAGCTGCCCATCCAAAAACGACTGCTGCATATGCTGCGGCTCGGGTCAGGTTCGGGTGTTACGTGCGTGTTGGGAGGGCGGGTGGGGGTGAGCGACACGGCTTGCGGGCGGGGAGGGCGTCTTCATCAGTGTTCCCTATTAATTTACACACCGTCCCCCAGGCGACTGGGAGCCAACCGGGGTCAATGCGGGCAGCCCCCCCCCACCCCCACAATGCAAAACACACTCTGCCTCCAAATCCCACCAGCCCTTTAGGGCGTGAGTGGTTCAGATCGTCCTCTCTGTTCTCACCCTCCTTCTTCCCCTTTGGGGGGGGGTATCACTGCTCCCTACTAATAAACACCCCCTCCCCCAGGCGACCGGGGGCCAACCAGGGTCCATGACCCCCCCACCACCATTCCTTGTAACAAACAATGCAAACCACACTCAGCCTCCAAACTCGGAACATGCGCCGCCAACCCGATGCGGCCACCCCCCACCATCCCTGCCAAAAAAACAATACATAGTACACTTGGCGGCGGCGGCGGCGGCTGCGGCGGCGGTCGCGGCGGCGGCGGCGGCGGCTGCGGCGGCGGCGGCGGCGGCGGTGGGTGGCGGTGGCGGCAGCGGCGGCGGCGGCGGCGGTTTGGCAGCGGGAGGCGGCGGCGGCGGCGGCGGCGGCGGTGGCGGCAGCGGCTGCGGCTGCGGCGGCGGCGGCGCGGCGGCGGCGGCGGCGGCGGCGCGGCGGCGGCGGCGGCAGGCGGCGGCGGCGGCGGCGGCGGCAGGCGGTGGCGGCGGGCAACGGCGGCGGCGGCGGCGGCGGCGGAGGCGGCGGCTGCGGTGCTTTGGAGGGCCTCCAGGTGAATCAACGACGGCCTAAGAAGGGCCCGAAGGCGGCCCCACGACGGAGGCCCCGAGGCGGCCCAAGAGGGCCCCAACACGACCGAAGAGGGCCCCAAGGGACCCCCAAGATTGCCCCACAGGAACCTAAGTCGGCCCCAAGTGAACTAAAAAACAAGCCCCATTAGTAAGGGCTCCCAAATACAATGGAAACGAGAGGTGTCACATGAGACGGCCTCCCATGCGGTGCTCCGAGAGTCGCCACACAGAATACTTCGCCGGCGCGGTGACAGATTGGCCGTCAACACCTGGATATTAACAAGCCCATGTGGAGCAACAACCAATGCACAAATAACACTTCCGCCCCTCCCACCGCAAATCCACGGCCTGAGTAGTCCCTGGTATCAGGTCACACCACGACGCTAGCCTAAACTGCCAAACCCTGAGCTCGCTGCGAACGCATAGTCCCCAATGGAATCCGAACAGTAGCTCCACGCTGTCAGAACCAGGCCTCAGCCGACTGCAACTCCTCATGGCTTTTCGGCTTTAGCCCTTGGCCTGCTCAAAGGTGGGGCCAACCACTCAGCTCCCCAACGTGGGAGTGCTGAAGACGCCACCACTCTTCGCGAAGATCCACCTCCTTCCGCCGTGCCGTCCTGACCTCCGACCGAGTTGGGACCAACGAGGGCGAAAAGAGAGGGAATCCCGGGCGACAACGTTGTGCAGGACGCACCTCATCGGTTGCTGCTCTGATGGCGTCCAACTTCTCCGCCAATGACACCTCCCCGTCTTTCGCGCGCACGCATCATGACTTGAAACACTTCTTACGCTCATGCGTGCTCTCGACTGGATCTTTGACAACCTAGAAGCCACAACCACGTACAGACAATCCGAAATTAAGGACGCGCGATAAGGATGCAAGAGCCTTGACGGCCATGTCAACACCTTGCGAACGGGGCGCGGCCAGCGAAAGCGGCCACGGACAGGCCGAAGGGGAAGGATGCGGGGGAAACCTTGGAAAGTCATTCATCCTTACTTTGCGGGTAGACTTTGCTACATGCCGGTGGGCCTCCATTTTGATCTGGTCTGGCCCTGACCCTCTTCCGACCATATATCTCATCCTCCCTCTGCTCCTCGTCGCGCGCGTTTCTGGTAGCTCTTCATCTCTCCCTCTCTCTCACCATCTCTCTCTCTCACGCTGAGGGATATCGTGTCTACCACGATCAGTTTATTGTGTATACACCGTTGTATGTATCTACATGTATGTGTATAGGTACTTCTCCCCAGCACCGAATCATCGTCCGATTTGATTTGGCTAGAAAGTACTGGCCTTCTCATTTACTTGATCTTCTCTTCCTCTCCTTTCCTTGCCTACCCTCGCTTACATATTCGCCACACGTCTGCTGGCGCATTGCGTTGCGATCTAAGTGCTTGTCCTGCTGCTGCGGCCCCTCATCCCGCTGTTCCTCCTCCTTCGCCTCCTCTTCCTGCCCCTCCTCTTCCGATGGGGCAGAGAGAGAGAGACTGAACACGAGACAACGATTCAAGAGAACAACGACCCCTGTGAAAACGCAACGCTTGTGCGCGAAACCAAAAGGCGCCAACCGTGAGTTCATTTGGATGTTTGGGATTTATGGGATGAGAACGCTAATAACCATGTAACATCATTTGAACGTTTGGGACTTCTGGGGTTCTACACCTCCAGCGAAGATCCACGCTGCAAGTCTACACATCCAGCGAAGATCCACGATGCGGCCCTTTAAGGCTCTGAGCCACACAAATCCCAAACATCCCGTATGAAACCACATGGTTCTTGGACTCTCATCGTGGCGCCCTCTGGTCGTGCAATCCATGTGGTTTAATGAGATTCCGAAGGTTCAGAGCCCTAGGGGGGCTGCAGCATATATTCTCGTCGGTGGTTGCAAAACACTTGAAATCTCCCAAACAAGACTGAATACAAATTGCCTGTGGGAATCCCCAGCCCAGGAACCCCAAACATCCAGATGCAATCAGCAAGGTGTGGCGCCTCTGGTCTCGCACACGTGGCACTCTCACATCTCTCCCTCCCTCCCTCCCTCCCTCCCTCTCCCTTTCTTGTTCTCTCTCTCTCTCTCTAAAGCTTGTTCCTCTCGCTCATTCTTTCTTTCTTTTTTGTTCTCTCTCTCTCTCTCTCAAATGGCCGCTCGATCGACTGGATCGCGAGGAGGAGGAGGAGGAAGAGATCACTGACCAAACTGCCAGGTCTGCGAGCGGGCCACCATCGAGCAATTCATCTGGCGAGTAATGGGTAAGCCGAGGAACTGCCAATGGAGGACACCGATTGCTTGAAGCGTGCACAAAATCGCAGCCTGTTATGAGAGGTGGAGGAGAAAGGGAAAGAGAAGGGGGAGGAGGAGGCGGAGGAGAAGGAGGGACGAGGAAGAGGAGGCGGAGGGATGCGTAGCACAAGGACGAGGAAGACGAGCCCTCCTCGCCTTCCTTCCGCCGAAGGGCCACGCACCAATGGCCACCCTTGCCCGGTGTCACATTACGGGTGCGGACTAAGAATCGCTCGCGCGTTGTAGCCTTTTCCCGCCCCCTCCGCACACAGCTCGCGCGGCCCCCGCCCGCCGCCGCCCTCGCCCGGCCTCGCCGATCTCCGCTAGCTGCGCCCTGGCGGCTTCGTGCGCCTCCGCCTCGCGCTCTAGGCAGCCCTGCAGCCACCTCTCTCGGGGGCACGAGGAGGGGGAGGCAGCATGCAAAGGATCCTTTTGCCAAGTCCCATGGCCCAGGAGGAGCAGGGGCAGGAGGAGGATGAAGGCCCAAACAAACCCAAAAACCACCAACGATGTTGGAATACACCCTCCCTCCATGCTCCCGCTGAATAGGTCCCTACAAATATTCATACCCACTGCGGGAAAAGCCCCGTTGGGAGACAACCGTGTGGAAATCATGACGCCTGCTAAAACACCATTCTCAGGATTTCAACGACACGAATCAACCTGAACGTTGCGTCTTCACGATCCTGAGTCGTGCCAGAGCAGTATTTCTAAGACTCCAACGCCGCGAATGACGCCCTGACAATCCTGAATCGCTCCGAATACGCTAACCATGAGAATTCGCAAAACAATTGCCATTCTTTTAACGAGCGGACGCGGCGCTAAATCAATCCACAAGTTGAAAAGGAACTGCCCTCAACGAAGCCCTGTCGAATGTTGAGAGCAAATGTGCGCGGCGCTGAAACGAGAACCACATGTTGAAAATGGGCCGCCCACAATCCGTGAAGCTCTTGCAACTTGTGAGATTGAATGTGCGCGGCGCTGGGGCGAGAACCACATTTTGAAAACCACCCGCCCTCAATGCTAGAAGCTCTAGCAATAACAGAAAACGAATGCTCGCGGCGCTAAGGTGTGAGCCACATGTTGAAAACCACCTGCACTCTATCCATGATAACTGCTACAACCTCTTAAACGTCATGTTTATAAGCGATAAAAATTTCTCCGGCGAAACGCCCGGCCCGCCCGTCCGACTAGCCTCGGAGATCGACGGGGAGGAATCATCCATGATGACAAAGAATAAGGGAAAGGGGCCATCAGACCCGCGCGTTGCGGACATTTTCGCCCACTTTCGGGCCCCAGGACCCTCACGGGTCGACCTGCCTGGAAACATGACGTGGGAAGGTGGGGTCCAGGGTCCAGGGCTCCGTCCATCGCGCGACCCTTCGGGTTTAAGCGCGCTTCCCGTCACCCGCCAGCGTGTCGCTGCGCTGCCCCGCCCGAACGAAGTGTAATGCAACGTCGAGCTAACCAGCCTCACGAAGCTGGTCAGCAAAGAAGACTCCCAAGGTGGCGCGCCGGTCCGCGGCCATCTTGAGCCGCCGTCGGACCGCCTGGCAGGTGATGTGCCACCCAGCCTCGTCGGCCTGCCGCAGGGCCTGCTCCATCTGCTGGCATAGCGGCAGGCGACGGTGCCGGGCTGTGCCCGCGCCGTATCTTATTGCGCCAAGGCTGTCCCCTAGGACGCGGGCCTGCCTGTCTGCGGTCGTAAGTCCAGGCAGGAGGGCGAGACCAGCCCTGCAGCCTGCGACCTCGACGACCTGAGCGCTATCAACACCCCGTAGCTTAGTGCGACCACGCAAACCCCGATCAATATTGGGGCGCCTGCTTCAGGGCGGTGTCGCCAAAGAGTGGCAGCAACTCCCGCTACTTTATGTTCTCCTGACAGAAATCTGGCTCTTCCGTCAAACGTGATTTCGTGGGGCCATTAGGCTGCGTCGGGGTTAGGAAGGGGCGAGCGCCCGCGGTGAGATCGTCGCCGCTCATGATATCGCAGGTGGCTCGGATAACCATGGTGTGCATGTCGCAGGTCCAGCAGTACCAACAGTGCCAGTCAGCAGTTGGGTCATCAGCTACACGCTGGCATGGAAACCAGCCCTGGCCTGGGAGGAGCCAGGCTGCGCGCGGGTGGTGTGACTGTAGAGTGGCGAGGTGGCCCCCCGCCTGGGTGCTGTCAGTAACGATGGGGAGCCTGCGGACGTCGCCGCCAGCTCTGTCGCATCCCCTGGTGCGGTGGGGGGTCGCCGCTCCCTGTACCGGGGGGCAGCCCCGCGAGACAGGGTTGCATTCCGATCATGGGTCGAGCTTGACGGACCATACTGCGGTTTCGATGTCCTGGCCCTCCTTGGCTGGCAGCGGTATATCATCGGGGTCGTCATCATAATCGGCGGTGTCGGGAGTGTGAAGGCCTTAGACGATGAGGCGGGCCCCTTCGTGGGGAAGCAGCGGAGTGAGAACCTGTATGAGATCTGGTGAATAAGTCGTGCGGCGATACTCTGGTGCGTCCCTTGCCTCATCGTAGCGGTCCACAAATCGAGGGGGGCGAGGTCGGGACGCACTCTGTTCCAGGAGAGTGCAATTGTTGGGCACCAGGTCCAAAGGTGCGGCGTGGTGGCCTCTCCTTCCTCACACAGTGGGCAGACCTCGTACTGCCCGTAGTTTGGCGAGAGTGCCAGGCTGGGAGGCCGGTTCTGTCGGTTCTGTCTGAACTCCTGCCCGACAAAGAGTTGCGAGTCCGGTCGTGCTGCCCAAAGGGGGATGGTACGCGCCCATTCGCCTAGACAGCTGTGGGACCAGGCGAGGCCGACGTCCTGTGTGCCTGCAGTGTGCCATACGCAACGGGCCTGTCTCATGCAGATTCAGCACTGGTGTGGTAGCCGGTCGGCCACCCCTCTCCCACGTGGCGAACCTGGAATCCCGCTTGCCAGAAATCGAAGCACATGGGTGGCAGCCGTGTGTGATGGTACGTGGTTTACTAGGTTCCATTCGGTGCCAATGCTGATAGGCCTGTTTTCCACCACCACCACCATAAGTTGGAGATGGAGGAGGAGGAGCAGGAGGAGGAGGACCCGCTCCCCCTCCGACTTATGGTGATGGTGGTGGAAACCAAGCACATCAAATGCCCCTTGCCCATCGCCTGTCGGAGCTGGTCTGAGTCTGCCACCACGATTCGCCGAACTATCGCCCCTGGACGCCCACGATGGCCTCCAGGCGGCCTCCGAAGCTGCCAAGGCGCCCCAAAAGGCCCCCAAGATGCGCCCCAGGAGGGTCCCAAGAAACAAGCATGTTTCGCATGTTTCACATGCTCGCCGACTCGGTTTTCACAATACGTCGCAGACAGGCAAAGAAACCTTCAATATCGCCCCCAGACGGCCAAAGGGGCCCCCAAGAAGGGGCGGACAGGGTCCAACAGCAGCCAAGGGC